GGGTCTCTGAATTTTCTTTTTTACTTAAGGCGATTCCACAAGAATGGAAAGATATAATTCATAAAAAAAATGTTGAAAGCCTGGACAAAAATATTAAACCCATTCAAAACTGGTGCAATATGAGTAGTAAAAAAATATATCTATGTTTTATCAGAAACGTGTCTAGAACCTGTAAGATGTCAAACAAAATGGGACCAATACTTTAATACTTCAGTTGACTGGTTTTTAACATGGGAAAGGAAAGTTAAATATATCAAGGAAAACAAACTTAAACAATTAAACTTTAAACTGTTGCATAATTTAGTACCCACTAAAAAGAGGCTTTGTACATGGAAGTTATATGAGTCAGATAAGTGTGAAACATGTAAAGTTGTTGAAGATGAAGAACATTTATTATTTAGTTGTACTGAAGCAAGCATGCTATGGAAATATATAAATAGTGTAACCGTTAACAGATTTCGAAACTACTTTTAAAAACATTGTTTTAGGTACGGGAAATATTGATGTTGATTACCTGTTTTCGGTCGGTTTATACAGTGTTTATAAAGCTAACGTTTTAAAAAATCTTAACAAGTGGAACCATAGGTCGCTCTTTACACTTTTTTAACACAGAAAAATATGAGAAAATGGTTTTAATTCTTTTTTTCCAAAAATCAAATTATTAAAATTGTACATGTAAAGAAATCTCTTTTATACCATAACTCTATTTTTATATGATGTAAAATATTGATGTTGATGAGCGATACATGCTGTAAATTGTACTACTGAATTGACGAATAAAAGTGAGATGAACCCACAAAAAAGAAAAAAAAACTTTTCTCATGTCTCCTTAAAAGTTTGCCACACATAGCTCCATCATCCTCTCCCATCATTTCACCACAACCTGAATGCATTGATTATTATAATTTGATTGCTAATCATGCCTTTGTTTTTATATTATTTGGCATTTACAGTCAGTTTATTCGAGGGGCATTTGTTTAAAGCATTTGAAGAAATACTTGAAATTATTAATTGTTATTTAAAACATGATGGATCACAGACAGGATGTTAGCCCATACATTAATTATTATTAGTCTTTTATGCATTTTAAATTATGACGTTTAATCTTTTAAATGTGTGTGGTTTCATGTTTTTTAATTGTCTTTGCTAGTTATGTTTATTTGGCAACCCTCGTCTTGCAGCCGTGTGCTGTATACGTTGGAGCTTGTTTAAGTTCAAATTTTGGAAGACTGTACAAGAGACTGTAAAAAAAATAGTCTAAACGTGAGGTAACAAAGGCATAAATAAGTTTTGTTTTTGTTGCTTGATCTAGATATTTCCTAATTGAGCTTATTTTGACCTAATGCCCTAAGACTTTTGAACTTAATTAATTTTATTCTTCTCTGTTGTTGTTAAGCACCTCGAGGTTGTGTCAACGTGAGGCGCTATATAAATCCAGAATTATTATTATTATTATTATAAGAGAAGACTGACAAATGAAGTTCACGTGTTCCTTTATGCCTTGTATTGTCTAACTTTAGGCCTACAGATTGAATTCTGATATAGTCGTATTCCATATAGTGACAGTTTGAATCGTTGACACGTTTTTATATTTATTAAAACTTGAGGTAAAGTGAATGAACTTAGTTTTACTCTCATTGAGGAAGAGATGATTCGAATTAGCCACATAGAATACTATGTTCTGGGTAAACATCGTTTGACACTCATCTCTTAAAGCACGCGAAACTTTACTTTATACGGAAGACAGTCTGAACATACTTTTATTATTATATTACGATTATTATTATCATTATATTACAATTGTTATTACCATTATTATTATTATTATTATTATTATTATTATTATTATTATTATTATTATTATTATTATCATCATTAATTTTTAACATTCCAATTTTTATCATCGTTTTCTTAATTTCTTTTTTTTTTGTATAAATCTATCAGTTGTTCTGTCTTCCATTTATTCATTAGACATTTTGTTTTTAATTGCTTTCCTTAACTGCAGATACCATATGTTGGCTTTATATTGTAAGCCTATTGTTGGGAAATCCACATTTTGCACAGTGTAAGTTCTGAGTTATTATTATATCATTGTCACAATCATTAACATCTTCATTAACATCAACAACATCCTAATTATTATTATTATTATTATTATTATTATTATTATTATTATTATTATTATTATGTTTTTAATTGCTTTCCTTAACTGCAGATACCATATGTTGGCTTTATATTGTAAGCCTATTGTTGGGAAATCCACATTTTGCACAGTGTAAGTTCTGAGTTAATATTATATCATTGTCACAATCATTAAAATCTTCATTAACATCAACAACATCCTAATTATTATTATTATTATTATTATTATTATTATTATTATTATTATTATTATTATTATTATTGTTATTAATATTATTATTATTATTATTATTATTATTATTATTTAATTATTAATATTATAATATCTAATTATTACAGTTATTATCGTTATTGGGCTTATTATTAGTTTTAAGTTACTGTAGTTATTGTTATTTTTATTATTTTATTTTCCTATAATTATCGTTATAAGGCTTATTATTATTTATAAGTTACTATTACTGTATTTTTATTATTAGTAAGATGTATTAACAATATTAGTATCATTAATCTTTAAATACTATGTATTTATTACTTACTGCAGTTAGTTTTACGATAGCAATAATACAAAAGGTATAGACTTTCACAAATAATCCTTAAAGAGCCACACAGGTGCCGGAATGCAGTTTGGTTGGGTATGTCCATGTAACAAACGTAGGTAAAATTTTAAAGTGAAAATATTTAGTTTTTTTATATCATAAGAATATTTTACCATATAGGTTTAACACAAAGGACCTGGTGTTCTGTATTAACAGCCTAAGTACCACACTAAACAATGCTTTCTATTACACCAAAGCCCAGTATCTTATTTTTGAACTTTTTTTTCGATGTTACAAAAAATAGTTTAGGTTATTTCCACATCAACAAATAGTTAAGGGCTACTCTATTATATCGTATCACAATAAGTTGGTTTACAGAGCAAGTCAGTGTTGTTAACATCATCGTCAACATTTTTATGATTTTGAACTAATTAACGTAGGTATACAGGACAAATACCCATTATACTGTAACTATAAAATAATTAACTGTGTCGAAAGTATTCATCAGTCTCTGTTAGTTCTGTAATTCCTCAAGTAGTGATGCAGTATGCAAGTCAAAATAAGTTTAAACCCAACAAGCAAAAGGTTGCTCCAATTGTATGTGCAATGTTTCTTTGTTTTTACGTTGATAAACTGTATTAGCAGAATATAATATTTTGAAACATCCCTTGTTGCAAGCATCCCAAAATTTATGGGAATTATTTAAGTGCTTAAACATATGTGCATATGTGTAACCATCCATGCGACGTTTACAACGTAATTGCATTTTATATATTACATGTTTTATCCCAGATTAGGATTTCACAGTACAATTGACATAGAATGACTTTATTGAGCCCTGGACTGTTACTCCAGCGCTTATGTCCCATCAAATGGCAATTCAAAGACCCCACGACTTTGATGTGATGAATTATCAATTTTATTATTATTATCATCATCATGAATGTTTTAATATTATTTTTATTTTATTATTTCTTAGTATTATACCATATTACGTCTTTCTATTACATAGCCCAAACTGTTTACAAAGGATGTTTTGAAGTTACTACTGACATGACAGGTTTGATTACTCACGATAGTTTAACCATAGACATTGGTATAGAAGAGTGTTACAAACAAGGATATCAGTTCGCTGGCTTGCAGTATGGCTCTCGCTATTGGTGTAGCAATGACATTGCTTTTCTTAATTCCAACCGACTAACCGATGCCTCATGTGATATGGATTGTTCCGGTAACAACCAACAAAAATGTGGCGGTGCGTGGCGAAGGTCTATCTATGCCATAGGTAGGTAAATTAAAATCATTGTCATGTTGCTGGTGCTACGACGACCAATTCCTCAAGGCTTATAGGCCTAAATAAGTTCAATTTATTCACTTATTGCATCATCAGTAAATTACAAGAAACAAAACATGTAAAATAATGAAAATAAAAATGTCTAGAGAAAGTCAGATTAGCCCAAGAGGGCTTTATAAGCCTGGTTCCATCAGTAAAAGGCTGAAATATATGAGTTATGATAATAATATAAATTGTGTACACATACACACACATGCATACTGAAATTTAGAACAGAGTACATATTCTTAGATAAAAAACGGAACGAAGACAGTACAGAACATATACTCACACACAAAAAACGACAAGAAACAACGGTCACTGTATTGGATTTTGTAATTTCACTGTCGAGGTTGTAACTAAAAGAATAATTATGATTAAGCAAATTAGGATGGTTTGTGTTTAGATATAAGGTGAGATATGGCATTGAGACTTCAAGAGTGAGTTTCATAGCAGACCTGTGAATTATTTAATTTCGAGTCTATGTTCTATTGTAGTTATTTATAATGTACTTGTTCGCGTTTCTAGTGTTGTATTTATGTAGTTCATTATTATTATCATATATTATTATTATTATTATATATATATATATATATATATATTTATTATTATTATTATTATTATTATTATTTTCTTCAATCAGTTTGTTTGAGCTGTCCTTAAAACGTCAGCCATCAGTCATCGGTTATTGTCATCTACTATGATAGTACAGTTTGTCATCAATTACATTATGATAAGCAGACCAATAGTAAAATATGCTCGTCTGTAAATATTAAGATAATGTGTTGCCGTCCGAGGCACGCGAAATGAATTCACTTATTGTTTACAATGTCTTAGCATTACATTAAAAGGACTGTGACTCAGTAAAGTGGGTTGGTCAAAATGTAATTTTATGGAACCGGATCATAAAATTAACTGGTTTGTGATGCAGAACGTGCAAGATGTGTATAAGAGACAGATCTTGTATATTAATAATAATAGTAATTTTCTCACCGATTCAGCAAATCTGGAGCAAAGCACGGTAGAAGTTACACAGCGAGCTACAACTGATGGTAAGTCAGTTATAATTAAAGATTGAGGATATTAAAAATACACCGAAGTCTGTACAGAGAATGTTTGAAGAATATTAAGTTTTCAAAAATGTGTTCCAGATTAAAATACGTCATAAAAATAATGTATGTATGTATGTATAGCAATAAATGTTGGCATACAGACTGTTTCGAAATCGCAATATTTTATTTGACTATATAATTGAATTATGTTGTGTTCGAAGATCTAGTATCATGTTTTTTAATCGTAGCATTTGATTAATTCATCTGAACTATTTGATATTATTGATATGTATTGTATGATAATTACACCTAGGCCACTGAGAGGAGGTGGGGGAGAGGGAGAGCATTGTTAATTTTATTTATTATATACATATACATATATGTAAATATGAATAAATTAACATTATAAATAATTGTTATGATTCTTAGTTTTAAAATTGTGTATATTTCAAATCTAATACTGTAATAATTGTTTCAATTTACTGGGCTCTTATCTTGTATATTAACAATGATATTAATTTCATCAAATATTTAGCAAATATGGAACGAAGCACTACAGAAGTTACACAGCGAGCTACAACTGACGGTTAGTCAAAAATATTGCAAATTGAAGCTATTACATATATACATGTACAAAGAAAATATTTAGAAAATAACAATAAAAAAAAATTATTAAAAAAAACACTGTAATAATTGTTGAAATTTACTAGGCTCTTTTATCTTGTATATTAATAATAATAGTAATTTTCTCACCGATTCAGCAAATCTGGAGCAAAGCACGGTAGAAGTTACACAGCGAGCTACAACTGATGGTAAGTCAGTTATATTAAAGATTGAGGATATTAAATATAGGCCTAAGTCTGTACAAAAAATGTTTGAAGAATTAAGTTTTCAAAAATGTGTTCCAGATTATAATACTTCATAAAATAATTTATGTATGTATAGCAATAAATGTTGGCATACAGACTGTTTCGAACTCGCAATATTTTATTTGACTATATAATTGAATTATGTTGTGTTCGAAGATCTAGTATCATGTTTTTTAATCGTAGCATTTGATTGATTCATCTGAAATATTTGATATTATTGATATGTATTGTATGATAATTACAACTAGGCCACTGAGAGGAGGAGGGGGGGGGGGGGGGGGGGGGGGGGGGGGGGGGGGAGAGGGAGAGCATTGTTAATTTTATTTATTATATACACATACATATATGTAAATATGAATAAATTAACATTATAAATAATTGTTATGATTCTTAGTTTTAAAATTGTGTATATTTCAAATCTAATACTGTAATAATTGTTTCAATTTACTAGGCTCTTATCTTGTATATTAACAATAATATTAATTTCATCAAATATTTAGCAAATATGGAACGAAGCACTACAGAAGTTACACAGCGAGCTACAACTGACGGTTAGTCAAAAATATTGCAAATTGAAGCTATTACATATATACATGTACAAAGAAAATATTTAGAAAATAACAATCTAAAAAAATTATAATAAAAACACTGTAATAATTGTTGAAATTTACTAGGCTATTTTATCTTGTATATTAATAATAATAGTAATTTTCTCACCGATTCAGCAAATCTGGAGCAAAGCACGGTAGAAGTTACACAGCGAGCTACAACTGATGGTAAGTCAGTTATATTAAAGATTGAGGATATTAAATATAGGCCTAGGTCTGTACAGAGAATGTTTGAAGAATATTAAGTTTTCAAAAATGTGTTCCAGATTATAATACTTCTTAAAAATAATTTATGTATGTATAGCAATAAATGATGGCATACAGACTGTTTCGAACTCGCAATATTTTATTTGACTATATAATTGATTTATGTTGTGTTCGAAGATCTAGTATCATGTTTTTTAATCGTAGCATTTGATTAATTCATCTGAACTATTTGATATTATTGATATGTATTGTATGATAATTACACCTAGGCCACTGAGAGGAGGTGGGGGAGAGGGAGAGCATTGTTAATTTTATTTATTATATACATATACATGGAAGAGCATTAGTAATATTATTTATATATACATATACATATATGTACGTGTGAATAAATAAACATTATAAATAGTAGTTATGATTCTTAGTTTAAAATTGTGTATATTTCAAATCTAACACTGTAATAGTTGTTAAAATTTACTGGGCTCTTATCTTGTATATTAACAATGATATTAATTTCATCAAATATTTAGCAAATATGGAACGAAGCACTACAGAAGTTACACAGCGAGCTACAACTGACGGTTAGTCAATAATATTGAAAATTGAAGCTATTACATATATACATGTACAAAAAAATATCTAAATATGTAAAAAATTACAATCTAAAAAAATGCAGAAAAGCTCAAAATGGTCTTTAATGGTTCCAGCCGCTCCTCGCCCATGGTTCGGTTGGTAGAACCAAGTCTTCTCGGATAAGGACTTAAAATGGACGTCCAGTGTATACATCTGGCTCGTGTGCACTTTAAAGAACCCATTGCATCTTTCGGAAGAGTAGGGGGTTATCCCGATGTTATGGTTCATTTCAGTCCCTGTCGTTGTGGAATGATGTGAACATGTATCTACCAAGAAGCGCCTCTTTACGGCTGCTAGGTAGTCACGGACCACGCCCATACGCAATTCAGCACAATGACGCTGCAAGTTATGGGTTATTCTCCATCATAATAATGTATTTAAAATTTTGAATTAATTGATTTTTTTTTCATTTAATTATAGTAATTTGGTGTATATATTTATAGGCCTATATATCTGTCTCTTATACACATCTAGATGTGTATAAGAGACAGCCATTGCACCTTTCGGAAGAGTAGGGGGTTACCCCGATGTTATGGTTCATTTCAGCCCCTGTCGTTGTGGAATGATGTGAACATGTATCTACCAAGAAGCGCCTCTTTACGGCTGCTAGGTAGTCACGGACCACGCCCATACGCAATTCAGCACAATAACCTGCAAGTTATGGGTTATTCTCCTACCTTTACCTACCCAACTATATATAATGATATATGCCATATATATAAGTATACATATATATATATATATCATTTTGAAACACAGATTTTCGTCAACGTTTAGTAATTCAACAAAAAGGATCCTTTTGTTATAAGAAAAAATCTGTGAAGAACAAGTATAATAGTAATACAAATGCATAGAATGGTATGTATGAAAATTGTGTACAGTATAATAATTATAATCAATATTTAAAAATAAAGCTGGAAATAATAAAGCCAAACGGTGATAGAAATAAAACATAACAAGGCAAAACGCTATGGTCTGCTTTAGACAAATGCCTTTTCTTTCTACTATTCTCAGCATTATTAATGAATATTATTGTGATCTTTACGTCATTTTGTGTAATTCTTTACTTAGGTTGGAGAACTATAGAGTAAGCTTTTCTTCAATCAGTTTGTTTGAGCTGTCCTTAAAACGTCAGCCATCAGTCATCGGTTATTGTCATCTACATGATAGTACAGTTTGTCATCAATTACATTATGATAAGCAGACCAATAGTAAAATATGCTCGTCTGTAAATATTAAGATAATGTGTTGCCGTCCGAGGCACGCGAAATGAATTCACTTATTGTTTACAATGTCTTAGCATTACATTAAAAGGACTGTGACTCAGTAAAGTGGGTTGGTCAAAATGTAATTTTATGGAACCGGATCATAAAATTAACTGGTTTGTGATGCAGAACGTGCACACTTACTGCGACAACATTGCATCGTTTCATTAATTAGGCATTAATATGCATTGTAGGCCTACAAAATTAAATGGCGTATGTTACCTAACTCTACCAAACGATGTAACCTTTGTATACAAGATAAGTATTTTATTATAATTATGTCAACCCGAAATTTGTACTCTAAATCAAAGGAACGAATTATTCAGTTCATGTAGACATAGACGCAAGTTCTTTTTACGATGTGCTACTTAATCCTACAGGCTTTCTTTTATTCATCTAAACAATAGAAACTTAATTACTTGGTAATTAGCATACTTTTGTTCTGATAAACTGTCACAATCTATGTACTTAGTTGGTTATTCCTTCACTCAGAGCTTAGCACCTGATGATTGAGGCACCCCTCATGAAACAGCCTGTAGTGCAATAAAATGTTGAGTCTTTAACCCATGTGTTACATGTTTTATTTGTCTATCTGCTCTGCTATTATACTGCTATATACTGCATTGAGCACTCTTGTCTACAATCAATCCATATTATCCATCAATTAATTAATCGATCAATTAAGTATTAATTACTTGATTAAGCAAATCAATAAGTTCATCGATCAATCAATCAATCAATCATTTAATCAACCAATCGGTCATTCAATAATAACAGAAGCAAACAATTAATTTGTAAATTAATCAATCAATCACTCAAACATATAACCAAAAATCAATCAATCTTTAATTTCGTACAAAAATATCACCAAATATTAGGCCTAGGCCTATATAATTTAAAAGATTAAGAAACTAAACTCCTTGACCATAGTGGTTTTTTTGTCTTTCACTCTTTATTTTTAATTGTTTTCATTCATTTTTCGGTCTTTAATCTATATTATATTTTAAATAAAATACGGGTAGCTAATATATACATTTATAATACTTTTGTCAAAATTAAAGCCTTCTTTTTTACAAAGTATTTTTTTCCATGGTAAAGTTTGAAACAAAAAGAAAAAGAAAATAGTAAGAGGTGAAAATTCATTAAATTGTATAATAATTAGATCCAAAATATAATCGATTTTTGAAATATATTTTTGGTAATTCACAGTCAGTATGACATCTTCTTTTGTTAAGTATATATATANTTAAGTATATATATATATATATATATATATATATATATATATATTGTATTTAATTTTTTTAAAATGTTATTTTAAAATTAAAATCCATTATACATTGATTTTATTCCACATCTTTTTTTTTTATCTTTGTAATATACCCAAATCATCTTTGACTTAGGCCTTCAAAAGTGTCACCTGTATGTACTTTCCTAAATTTTAAGATAATTTACAATTAGTAATACAATATTGTAGTATTTACTTCTATTTATGGCTTCTTTTTTTCCCCTTTTCAATGTAGATATGTTTAAAAAGTCCTAACTATCTATCAATCAGCAGATTATGTATTCTTTTCCATTTCCTTTTACCTTTTACTTTGTCGATATATAAGTCACCTTTAATTCTGAACATGATGTTATGCTTAAAGGTACTCCATAGATCAGTAAATCTTGATTTTTTTAATTCACACAGAATTTTTTCTTTGTAAATAGTAAAAGCTGCAGCAGTGTAAATATAATCTACAATTACATTTTCTGTTCCAAGAACCAGTTGCTTAAAAGATATATCTTCTTGCCCAATACCTCTTAATATATATTTAACTTTCCTCCAAAAAGGTTTGGTAAATGTACAATTGAAAAGCATATGGTTTTCATCTTCAACATTTTCTTTACACTTATAACATTTGTCAGTATCTTTTAGTTTCCATAATTATATGTAATCTTTTGTTAGTAGGCAAAATCCTGCGTAAGAGCTTGTAATTGAACTGGGCTAATTTTTTGTCCTTCATTTTACATATTTTATATAACCAACATGATTTCCAATCAATATTTTCATCAATAAAACAATCTTCCCATTTTTTTTTTGTATTGTTGGTATTACAAAAACGTTGTTTACTAAACATGCATATACATTTTTAGATTTAATATGTTCGAAATTATTATTGTTATTTATGTTACATTCAGAGTTAAAAATGTCTGTGTTTTTAATTATATTTCCATTGATCTGGTATTGCTTTAATTATGCAAACTTAGCCAATTTAATTTGCGTCGTAATTTTAATAATAATTCGTCGGAACGTATAAATGTATTGTTATTTACAAGATCCTTAACGAACACTATATCACAGTTAATCCAGTGTTTGTATAACAATGACTTCTTATTTAGTTGGATTAAGTGATTACCCCACAACTGTGTACTCATATTTTCCTCACATGTTTGAATATCCCTTTAATTTATTTTGTTATATTTAATACAAGCTTGCAATATATTTTTATAAAATATTGGCATATCATACTCAGCAGTAATATTGTTTAGACACGTCATATTAAAAATAACCTTTTCAGGACCCATAATACATTTAATGCATTCACGTGTAAACCAAAATCTGGAATTTTAATGCCACCCTTCTTTTCATCACCAATTAACGTTTTCCGTTTTATTTTCTCTCTTTTGCTATTCCAAATAAACGCATATATTAAGCTATCTACTTTATCAATTACGGTACATATTTTGGTACATCTATAATGTTTACTGCATATATTAATTTTGACAAAGCAAGAGATTTTAACACGGTAACTTTTCCATGAAAAGAAAGGTTTCTCGCACTCCATGATTTTAATGTTCGTTGAAGTTCGATCAACTTACCATCCCAATTCTTAGATGTACAAAACTTAGTGTCGTATCCTATGTACATTCCCAGAACCTTTACTGGATGTTTAACACAACACAAATCGAATGGTTCATCTTTCTTATCTTTCCATTTACCTATCCACACATGGCCTTTGTCTTGTGTCTGTTTGGTGTCATTCCAGATATTTTGCAAAATGATTCTATAATGTTGATGGAGGTACGTAGACTTTGTTCATCGCCGACATACAATACAGTGTCGTCAGCTAGTTGACTAATTTTTGCCTCTATATAGTTTTGCTCAATTATGTTTGGTAACTTAATTCCTTTAAAAATATTGATATTCCTTATGTTACATGCCATAATTTCAACAACAAGTATGAACAAAAAGTGCTGATAACGGACAGCCTTGTTGTATTCCTCTTTTCATATCAAAATTTTCGGAGACCCATCAGTTATTCGTAGTAACACATTCAACTTTTGTGTATAGCAATTCAACCCACTTGCAGAACGTTTTACCAAAATTAATTTTTTTTTAGTACCGCAAACATAAAATCTCTACTAATTGAATCAAATGCCTTTTTAAAATCTAAAATTACCATAGCTCCTTCCATATTGTATTTGTCCGTGTAATAGAGTAAGTCTTCTAATAGGCGTACGTTTTCTCCAGCGAAACGCCCTTTTATGTATCCTTTTTGGTCAGAATTAACTAGTGATTTTATAAATACACGTAGTCGATTACTTAAAACATGAGCAAGAATTTTCTAATCAATATTCAACAGTGTGATTGGTCGCCAGTTATCTAAATTTTGCCTATCACCCCCTTTAAAAAGCATGGTAATAACACCACGTTTTTGTGAACAAGATAACTCATTTGATTTTCTTTCTTTTGGAAAAAAATATTTATCTTTCAAATTTTGAAATAACGCAATTCAATGATAGACGGAATATCTTCATCCCATTATTTACTTAACTATAGGCCGAGAGTATCCTAAACTACCATGTTAAGCATAAGACAATTTGTTTTCGTCATGATTTGTGTGTGTGTGTGTTGTTTTGCTTTTAATTTGTTTGTATGTTTTTGAAATTACTGAAATAATAACAAAAAAAAAAAAAAAAAAAAAAAAAAAAAAAAAAAAAACAAAATTGAATTAAAAATTTC